CTCAGCCTCCAGAGTAACTGGGACTACAGGTGTGCTGTATGATAATCTGATAAAATAGTGGGCAAAATATTTCAACAGTTACTTCACAAAAAGAGGACGTGTGAATGGCAGCTGGCAGGGTGGCATTTGGAGTGTCTCTGCTACTACCAGGAGGAGGAGATGGAGCCACAGAGACATGTCAGCATCACCAATCAACAGGGATGCACGAATAAAAATCACACACCCACTACAACCGCCAATAGCGAAGCAATGAAACACTACAGGTAGGTTGGTGAGGATGTTGGCAGGGTACGGCCTCCCTGGAAAACAGTTTGGGTTTCCTCATAGAGAAAGAGGTATGAAGTATGCCATGCCCCAGGAATTCTACTCCTCAATCACTGACCAAAAGAAATAAAGACAGATGCCCACACAAAGACATATCTTCAGTCCTAACAGGTGCAAGCTGGAAGCGATCCCGATGTGCATCCGTGAGCCACTGCAGCATGTTCACAGAAGGGGCGGATTGCAGGTGTCCAGCACGTGGATAGAAACCCAGAGCATCCGGGGATCCAGAGAGCCACACACAGAGCACATTCCACTCACATGAAGTTCTGACCCACAAAACATGATATATGGTGGTGAAAATCACATCAGTGGTGTCCTGGAATGCAGGGGGAGCTTTCTGAGGTGACAGTGATGGAGACATTCTGCACCCAACCAGGTGGTGGTCACAGTTGTGTGCAGGAAATCCTCCTCACAGTAATGAAATGACATCGTTAGGTGAAGCAAACACCATGGAAAGAAAGCGGTGGTCTGTGCTGTGATCATAGAAAGTAGCATGGGACCTTAGCAGTGATAAAGAGAGATGTCACACAATGACATAGGAGCCACCAAGTAAGAGGCAAAACCAGCTAGTGCTGGGGAGAGTGGCCAAATCCACAGTTAGGCGCTGACACCAAGTCTCCTCTCTCAAAGATCAAGAAAGAAAGCAGACAGCAAGGACACTGAAGATGCAAATGACTCTCCACTGCCTTGGCCTTGGTGGCGTTTCTAGAACATTCCCCTGAAATAGCAAAAGACACTCTCTTTCTCAGTGTGTGACTAAGACCATCTGCTGGGTCCGATAACAAGTGTGACAAATTTAAAAGTATTGAAATTAAACAGAATAATTTTCTGCGAAGGAATTAAATTAGAAATCAAAGATAAAAATTCCAAAAATTGACAAAAGACAGGAGTGGGCATTTTAGAGATGAAGTATGAACACACAGTCAGCCAGCACAGGACAAGCCGCCCAGCTGGGAGTGGTGGGCCTGGGCATGAGCATGTGGGCAACCTATTCCCTGGCCGGTGGCTGAGCGAACTGACCACAGGCCCGTCCTGCCCAAACCATGTGCTCCAGGCTGTGTCTGATGGACACACATACATGTGGACCCAGACCCTTCAAATATCCCCAGACTGAAGACAGCCCAGTGTCCATAGCTGGAGGTCGGCATGTGATGCGCATGGTGGGGAGCTGTGTGTGGCAAACGGACAAAGCTGGAATGCAAAGCACAAGGCTGGGGGGAGGCAGGCACGGAGTCCTGCAGTCTGGGCAGACACCACAAAACACGAGGCTGGAAGGAGAGGGGAGAGCTGGTGGGATGGGTAGGGCCACTGGGTGCTGGGTCATGGCCACACACAGCCTGTGAGGTAAACGTTCAGCCATACAGGCTTGTGGGCACTCTCTGTGGACCTTACCCCGTGAGGCAGGAAAATATCAGTAAATGTCAGCCCGGATTTCGTGACGGCAGCTCCGGTCCACAGCCAGGATGAGTGCAGGTGTGCACAGCCCAGGGGAGGCATCTGGGCATCATCTCCTAACACCGAATATGACCTCAGGGCCAGGCTTGGTGGCCTGGCGTGGTGGCCTGGCATTCTCTCCTAAGCAGAGCACTTCTGTGGGGAAATCAACTTGCCGGGTTGTAACCAGCATTCTCTACATAACAAAATGGAAAAGACCAGAATAAAAAACTCAGAACACATGTGGTCAGGGCACGTTTTATTGCTATGTCAGCCTGTGTGCACCCTGGAGACAGACACAGAGGTCGGGGGAGGCAGATAGTCCCTACAAAAGGCCGGACACTGGAGTCTGCTCTGTGGCTGCAGCAAGAAACCAGTGAGCGGCCACACTCAGCAGAACCAGGTCTGTGGGCTGAGCAGGACGTGTGACACCAAGTGCTGTTGAGATGTGGGGTGATTGTGGTGCCAAGGCCAAAGCGTGGAGTCCCTCTGGAGAACAGCCAGGCTCTCTCCACACAGGCACCCACAGTCCCTGTAAGCACCCTGTGCTGGCCTTGATTTTGAAGGGGGCTGAATGAGCCTTGCAAAGGCCAATGACAGACTTCTGCCCCATTTTCCAGGAGGAAGGCCACCACCCCAGTGGGCATCATGGGGTGGGGAGTAGGGTGAGTGGAAGCCCTGAAGGCTGATCAGGGTTTCTGGGAGGCACAGGCGGGTAGCTGAGCAGCCTGAGTGAACAGCACAAGTGATTCCTACAACCTTGAGCTGTGCAGGGGCTGCTAGCAGCCAGCACCTGGCCCTGGCGTTAAGTTTGGTAAGGAGTGGGGGACACAGCCCAGGTTGGCGAGTGCTGGCCACGCTGTCCACCCCCAGACATTAGCAGGCCAGGGAGGAGCATCCTTGGGTCTGAAAGTTCCCCCAAGATGTCAAGACATCACAGAACACAGAAGAAATAAATGTGATTAATACAGAGAAGCAAGAACACAGGCCCACATGCACCAACACGCACACACATGGCACCTCCATCCATATGACTGCATTTGAGTTTATTCAGACATACTCTGCGCTGCAGGAACACATAGCAGTGAGTGGCTGATATGCATGATGCTGTGGGGGGGGTCACGGTGCGGGGGGGTTTATAGCATGAGGAGGTGTCGTGGCACTGTGGGGGCTCATGGTGTGTGGGAGGGTTACAGTGCTGTGGGAGGAGTGTCACAGCACCAGGAGAGGATCACAGTGACCGGGGCGGGGGGTAGGCGGGTCAAAGCACTACATTTTGTGAAGAAGCAGATGTGGACTGGAACACAGCACACAGTGAAGCTGCCACTCCTGGAGGGGGGAGCGGGGCAGGAGGGGCGGAGGCCCCCTGAGGGCAGTGTCTGACGCCCCAAGTGGGGTCAGTGGAGTCCCCATTTATTAAAACTCACCGAGGCTTAAGGTCACATATTTTGCCTCTTGTAAATTCTACCTCAGTGCAAAAACAACACTGGAGGTAGATGTGTCCACACAGCAGTCAGGGTGCACTGTATGGTGCCCATGGGGATGCTTCCATTTCTTTTCTTGGATTCTGACTGAAACCCAAGGAAGGGGAAGGAGTTTTCATCCTGCTGAGTGGCTGCCCCAGGAGTGCCCGGCCCTCCTGGGTCACTGCTGACCCAGAGTGAGTATGGAGGTCCAGTGCCCAGCCTCCCATGGCCGCCCCACACATCTGGCAACAGGATCCACTTATGCCACAGGGAGGTGCTCGCTCTGGGTCTGTTTCCTTCCTCTGAGCCTGTGGCCTGGCCATACCCCAAAGTACTGGGGAGGACTCACCTGCCTAGGGTCTCCTCCAACATCCCTCGAGTTCTGGCCAAGGGCCGGTTGGGAGTTTATGCCCAAGATGACCTGGGAGCCAGGGGCAGACCTGAGCTCTACAAGGGCCCCAAATGCCCTGGGGACACAGGGATGCTGGGGATGCCCAGGACCTGGCTCTGGGGCCTCCTGGGCATGATTTGGGTCAGAGGTGGGTTTGCTTGCAGGAAGGGGGTGGCGGCATCTCCCCTACCCCCAGCAACACATAGTGGGCACTCTGTGTGTCCAGAACCAGAGTCACCAGGCCACCCACCAACTCCTCTCGATCACTGAGAGGCCAGGCCCTGCCCAGCAGGACAAGCAAACCCTAACTCAGGATCCGGGCCATATGGGGTCTGGGCCACTCAGTAGGAAATTTCCTCTGGACACTTAGAGTCTGGGCAGGCAACACGTGCCCACCCCTGGGACCTTGGGCATCACCAGGCACTCTATACCTAGTGGGGCAATGCTGGGCCCCAGGGTTGTGTCCCCAGACACTCCTGAGGCTCTGCAGACCCCAGAGGATGAGCTGAGGGACCCAGGCCTATTCCCCCACTGCCCAGTGTTCTCCGGACTTCCTGCCATGAGAGTTCCAGGGCCACCAGGCTGGGCCATCTTCAGCAACCCCCCCATAGCTCAAGTCTATCTGGAGCCCCAGAGAGGTGCTTCCTAGCTGTGCACAGAGGCCAAGAAACCCACAAGGTATGGGAGGCCCCAAGGGGAGCTCAGAGTCCAGGCCCGGACACTGACCCGGCCTCTCAGTGCCCTGGGAAATCGCAGACTGCAAGTACCCATGGGAGGCTGGTGAGCCTCTGGCCCCCATAAAGTGCTTGGCACTTGTCATGGCCCCTCCTAATGCAGGGAGGCCTTGTGTCCCCTCACCTGTGTGGCATCCACCATCCGACCTCTTCCCAGAGGGGCCAGGTCCATACAGCCCTGTCCTTCAGGGTCCTTGGCCCAAAATTCGGGTTCTCAATAACTTCCCCCAAACAGAACTTGGCTCCTAGAAGTGTGCTGAGTGTCACTGACTGCCTTTATGGGGTCAGAGGGCAGCTTAGGGCAGGAGAAACTGACTAGCATAGGTGTAGCGTGGTGAGTTGGAGAGGCATCCAGGCCCTAGCCATTTGAGGGGCATTTGGGGTGGAAAGGGCACAGAGTCTCTTGGTCCTTGGCTGGCCAGCCCTCCTGTAGGCCAGGAGGTCAGCAGGTCACGGAGCTGCAGAGAAGCCTGGGCAAAATGCAGCCCTGTGTGCAGAGCAGCATTTACTGGCCACCCTCCTCCATGCCACTGTCCCTGGCCACTTCCCCTACCCAGGAGGCCTCAGCCCTTTCCAGGCCTCCTGACAGTGGACACAGAAGATGGGGGGCAGCTTGGCAAACGCAGCTCTTGGCCAGCAGTCGTGGTGTGCCTAGATCATGCCAGCCAGCCAGGGCGGCAGGAAGAGGCCCGCCGTCCCCAGCAGGCAGACAATGACAAACATCCAGAGGAAGATACGGTCGATCACCATGGCCACATACTTCCAATCCTCCTTCACCTGCAAACAGACATGCGTCACTCCAGCCACACCCCAGCCTCCAGCGCAGCTGGAGAACCTTCTGGAACCTGTGCTTTGAGGACAGGCTCTCCTGACCACCCTCTCACCCTCTTGCCCTGATCACACCTGTTCTGAGGTGACACACAGGAAGGGGTACCGAGGACCTGCTCGGCTACCCTCAGAGTCCACACCCACTGGGGAGAGTGGCCATGATGCAGGTTGAGGGTGCACCAACATTACCACCACAGGGGCCAGGCAGTGGAAGGCGCTGAGCCGGCTCTAGTGTGCCACCTGAGGAATTCGTGTGGAGAGTTCTAGAATTCTAGAGCACCTGCGGTGGCCCAGACAGGGAAGCAGAGCTATGTGGGCACAGCACTGGCTGACCAGGAGTGTGCTGGGCAGTGGGGCCTGACTGCTGTTGAGAACTCCCCCACCAGGCACTATAACAGATGAGGTCCTACAGGTGGGAGCCAGAAGGTAGGTGGTGGTAGCCAGCAGGCAGGAAGCCCTCTGAGCACACTGGCCATCTACGGTCACTCACTAACACTCAGCTGGACAGTTTCGTTCATGTTCAGGGACACAGAGGCTTGGGGACAGGCCCACAGTCACACATCTGGAAGGGACAGTGGATCCTGACACAGCTCCAGGTCCCGCTCCTGCCTCCACCTGGGCCTGACCCAAGAGGCTACCCCATGACCCCTGCAGGCAGAGGCTCTGGGTGTCTGGTGCAACTACCTGGCCACCCAGCAGTAGAAAAGCACCTCTGGGGACAACCTCGGGTGCCAACGCCTTACCAATAGCCTGGCTGCCCATGCGTCACCCCTCGCTCTGCTGTCTGCCCTGTGTGATGGGCACTTCTGTTCTGCAAGGATATGGACTGCATCCCAAGCTCCATCAGAGCTGCCTTCAGGACACTCCACACAGGCTTCCTGGGTCTGAGGTCTGTGGACACTAAGTGACCAGGCTCCAGCCAGCTGAGAGACCAGGGGCTTGCACCCAGCCAGAGCTCGGTGCTCCTGTGTGGGCTGTCTCTGCTCTGATTCCCCAGTCAGCACAGGTGTCCTGCTGGTTCTGAACCACACCTAAGTCACATGTTTACTTAGGGACCTGAGTGCAGCAGGTCACTTATAAATAGGGGGCCTCCTGGCTTCCTGCTTTGCTGGGCACGACTGTCCAATTTGCCTTTGATTCCCCACTGCACAGAGTCCCATATTCGAGATGAAATGTGGCACAGACCAAAGCCCCCCTGCTGCTCCAGGGCTGGCATCTGTGAAGTCGGGCTCACTCCCCATAGACTAGTGCCAGCCAGGCAGAGAAAGGTGGCCGCAGGACACTGTCATGACCACGTGCTGCTCATGCTACTGGCTGCATTACACTTCTTTTATTTATTTATATTTAGAGACAGAGTCTTACTTTGTCACCCTTGGTAGAGAGCTGTGGCATCACGGCTCACAGCAACCTCCAGCTCTTGGGCTTAGGTAATTCTCTTGCCTCAGCCTCCCGAGTAGCTGGGACTACAGGCGCCCACCACGATGCCCGGCTATTTTTTGTTACAGTTTGGCCAGGGCTATATTTGAACCCGCCACCCTCAGTATATGGGGCCGGCGCCCTACTCAATAAGCCACAGTCACCGCCCTGCATTACACTTCTGATTAAACTACAAGCATCCACCAGCCTCAGACAGGTGTGCCACAAAGCATGTCCCAGAGCCAGTTTCTCTGATCTGATCTCCAAGACCTTGGATAGTTCCAGAAACCCACAGAGTAGCTTCATAGCTTCTCAGGATTCAATGGGGTGATAGGAGCGGAGGCATCAGATATCAGGGGTCTGAGGCCAGGCAGGCCCCTTCAGAGAGCATCAGCCCACAAGGACATGGGAGCCAACTATGAGGTGAGGGTTCAGGTGAGACAGTGCAGGTGCTGGCCAAGGGCAGGTGGACAGCCAGGACAGGCACTGAGCCATCACTGAGGATGTCCTAGGTGGCCCTGCAGCTTTGACGGCCCCCGCGCAGGTTGAGCCCAGATGCCCACATGGCCCTCCCAGATCACCAGGGCCTAGCTGAGCCAACGCTGCCCCAAGAGCCTGTGTAACTTGACCTTGTGTGTGTGGGTAGAATAAGCAGAGGGATCAGTGTGTAGACGGGCAAGTGGGGACCAGTGTCAGTGTGTAGACGGGCTGGTGGGAGCCAGGATTAGTGTGTAGATGGGCTGGTGGGAGCCAGGATTATTGTGTAGACCACCTGGTGGGAGCCAGGTTTAGTGTGTAGACTGCCTGGTGGAAACCTGGTGTTCTTACCCAGAAGCTTTCCAGCTCCTCCCCCTAGCTTGGCTATGAGGAGCTTCCAGGTATGTCCCAGCCCCCCATCTACCCTCCTACCAGGCCTCACAGCCCACCTGGCCCCATCTCACCTTTGTTTGCCACCCCTCCCCGACCCCAGGGTCTGCAGCCCTTCCCAGCCCTGCTGCACTTGAACATGACCAGCACAGCCAAGCGGGAACTCCCAGGGGCCAGCAAAGGAACCCCAAGTTCCCCTAAGGAAGACCTCGTGCTGTGCTGGTTTGGGGGCCCCTCACTCTGTAGCCACTGAACTCCTGGCGTCCTGATGTCCAGAGGGAAGGCATCACTACCATCTAATCCCCTCCACCACTGTGGGCCACCTGCCCTGGGTCAGCCCAGAGACTGCGGGGACAGGGCTGTACCCTGGGAGCCGCCAGGCACCCAGACAGGACTGAGCAGCCCGAGGGTGCGCCCAGGCTTTAGGATCCCTCACCAGCAACCCAGGGCGTGTCCCTTCTGTTCTACGGGCACCTCCCAGGGCATAGAGCAGGAACTTACCGAGAAATCTGTGTCTTCTGCCTTCAGATGGTCTGCAATGTACTGGACGCCCTCGACTGCCCGCGTCAGGGCTGGTGATAGGGGCAGGGGCTGGGGCGGTGCCCTGACACCATGGGCTTTCAGCGTGGCTTCTGGGGACGCTGTGGGTGGCTCCTTCCTGCACGTGCACTTGCAGAGAGAGGGCTTGTCTTGGGGTGGGAGCTCTGCCGAATGGGCCTTCCGGGAGTCTGGGGAGCTGGCCGCTTGGCCATCGGCCTGAGAGACAGTGTTGTCTCGGAGGATGCAGTACTGGATGCTTCGAGACCGGCACCGGCCACTGCCCTCTGCCGCTTCCCCAGGGCTGGACACCTGCTGGACACTGAGGGACCTGACTTTGGTGAGCCCCGGGACCTGTGCACTGTGGGACCGGGGGTGGGGTGGGGGGCTGGCCTTCTCAGCCTCTGAGGGCTGCGGAGCCTGGAGGTCGGAGGGCGAGGAGGGCGACTCGCAGGCAGGCTCGTCCACAGGGTCGCGGCAGGTTGGGGAAGGTGGTGGGCTCTGGCCATGGGTGCTGCCTGGGACAGGGGGCTCCCCGTCAGGCGCAGGCCAGAGGCGCGGGGCATTGGCCATCTTGTGCATGGACTCGATGAGCCGCCGACAGTTGTCCTTGACTGTGGACGGCCGCTTCATGAGAAGCAGGCGCGGCACGACGTCCAGGAAGACCCTGCGCACCCAGGCGGGCATGGTGTGGGTACGCGGTGAGCGGTGGTGCACGTTGAGCACGAAGACAGTGATGACGATGGACAGGGTGACAAAGATCATGGTGAAGAGCAGGTACTCGCCAATGAGCGGGATGACCAGCGAGGTGGACGGGATGATCTCGGTGATGAGCAGCAGGAACACGGTGAGGGACAGCAGCACCGAGATGCACAGCGTGACCTTCTCACCGCAGTCGGACGGCAGGTAGAAGACGAGCACGGTGAGGCAAGAGATGAGCAGGCAGGGGATGATGAGGTTCACGGTGTAGAACAACGGCAGCCGCCGGATCACGAAGGCATAGGTGATGTCAGGGTAGATCTCAGCACAGCATTCATACTTTCTGGTGTTGTAGGTGCCCACCGCATCCACAATGACCCACTCCCCGCTCTCCCAGAAGTCCCGCTGGTCCACGCGGCTGTGCACGCTCACCAGGTCAATCTTGGCCTTGTCATAGGTCCAAGAGCCAAACTTCATGGTGCAGTTCTGCTGGTCGAAGGGGAAGAAGGTGACGTCAATACTGCAGGAGCTCTTGTAGATGGCCGGGGGTGTCCACTGCACCCGCCCGTCGTGGAACAGGTGAGCCTTGGTCAGGTGTGTGACCGCAAAGTCCCCATCCGCACTGGCCAAGAAGAAGGGGAAGAGAGAGTGAGTGTGAGACCCACTGGCACACCCACCCAGAAAACGTGCATTTCCACATCATGGACAAGCAAATAAAGGCCTATCGCCTTGCCTGGGAACGCTGCCAGTCTCTAAGCAGAGCAGAAGCTACATGTGGCTGGGTACCGGCCCTGATCAACACTCACCTGTGTGGCTCCGTTTGTCCTCCCTGAGCTGGGGACAGCAAGTGGTTCAGAGAACACAGGAGGGGTCTATGCACACCTGACCACAAGCAGCAAGGCGTCCCTACGTGGGCGATTGTTAGCACTGCCGGGGTACAACCAGGACCGGCCAGCCTCCCAGCCTTCCTCATGTTGCATCTGCACCTCTGAGCAGATCTGAGGGTGGCATGGGGACTCCTCGCCCTGGCTTCCATCATTTATCCCAAGGACTTAAGGATGAGGATGCCACAGCCACAGAGGGAAGGACAGTGCCCAGATCACCCAAGAGTGACCCAACAGGACTGGACACTCAAGCTGCCTGATGCCGAGGCCACGTGTGATTGTAGCCTCCTGACTCCCTTTTCCCAGCAGACATGGGTGTCCTGTCCACAGGCCCAGGTAGGTGACTTCTGGTAGGCAGAATTCCCACCCCTGGCCCAGAACTTCACAGAGGGAGAAGTTTCTCCTCCACAGATGCCCACAGAGAGTGAGGGCTGGTGTGCTAGGTCTGAGAGCCCCCCTTGATGTGTCTGTGTAACCTGAGCCACTCTCTGCCTCAGTTTCCCCATGAGGTCCAGGCACCTACAGACTAATGGAGCCCTCAGGACAGATCCTGCTGGCTTTGGCTCAGCAACCTGACAGGAAACCTCATCCTATGCTTAATGAGCTCTCTGAGCCCAGATTACTCCCCATGATGGTGCCAGCCCAGTGCTGACCCCAGCCCTACAGGGCCAAGGGCCAGGACGAGTCCCAGGGCACAGCTACAGCCATGGAACTGCCCAGGCCTTCTGCCCATCCTGCCTCCACCTCATCTCCTAAGGTCCAGCTCAGAGGCCAGGCCTTCCCAGGTCCTCAGGCAGGAATGGCCCCTGTTCCTCTGAGTTCCTGCTCTGACCCAAATGTAGCTTTGGCTGTACCTGCCATGACCCTGCCAGGTCCTCAGCAACAAGGGGTCACAGCCCTCAACACCCAGGGCTGTTCCCTCTGTGATGCTGGTGGCTGCTGCATCTTCACTCTCAGAGTCACCGAGTCACAGCCCCCACAATGGTCTCCCCTGGTGCCCAGCCAGTCTCTGCCCCTCCCCCTCCCTGCATGGCAGCACTGCAGATGGAAGGGGACCCCCAAGAGCCACAAGATGGCAGCCTCCGCTGCCCTCCATCTTGGCAGGGCTCTGACCAACATGGAGCAGTGGTCCCTCTAGGTGGCTGGGGACTGAAGTTTGCTTCCTAAGCCCCAGCCCTATTTCACCAAAAATCAGCCGAGCCCCTGTGAGGCACAGGTGTCTCCCAGGGCAGATAGGTCAGCTCTCTACTTAGCAAACACTCTGCAGAGGACACTCCACAGAGGCTCCAGTGGGGGTTGGGCTGCTCCTGGCAGGCCCCTCATATGACCCCCACCAAGTATGACCCTCACCACAGGAGCAGAGAATGTTACAGAACTTCTCTTACGATAGCAGTGCAAGGCTGGGGTCTGTCAGGGCCCTTTGCCTGCATGGATAAGTCAGGGTGGATCAGTGTTCTCCTAGCACAGTCTGCACTGAAGCACATCACCCCTTGCATTGGCTGGACACCCTCAGGAGCCCTAAGGAGGCCTGCTGGGTGTCCACCCCTGGGCTTGCTGGACCTCATCTGCACAGATGGGCTCTGTGTGGCATGCCTCTTCCCCTGAAGCTCAGGTGGCAGAGCTGGGATTCGAGCACTCCCTGACTTAGCCTTGGGTCCTTCCATTGCGACTCAGCTCGGGGTCCATATGCATGGCCAGGACTTGTGGGCACAGGCAGCTTTGCCCTCCTGGCTCCTGTGTAGTGTATCCAGCCCTGGAGAGTCTCTGGAAGAGCGGAGGAACAGCCCCTCTCTGCACACGAGGTCAGATCTGGAGAGTCTCTGGAAGAGAGGTGGGATAGCCCCACCTTGCATGCAGGGCCAGGCAGCCCTACTCTAAGAAAGAGCCGTGTCTGTGGGCAGGTGTCACTGTCACACAGAGGCTGGCCCTGCCATGCCAGGTGATGGACCACTAGTGGTTTCCTGTCCCACATTCCAGGTGCTTAGGCTGGACACTCAGCTGTGTGCCAGTTCTGAGCTTGCTTAGTTTACACCCAGCAGTCCTAAAAAGGGCTGTTTCTATCTGCTGTCCCCTACAAAGGGGCCTCTGGGGGTGGCCATGGCCCAGCATCAGCTCCCCTCTCCAGTGTCCTTTCCACCCTCGCCAGCCCAAGTCCTGTCCAGAGAGCACTCTGCACCAAACCTTGGCCTGCAGAGAAGCCGGCATCTACCCTACTGCCTCCCACAGATCCTGGCAGGGAGGAGCAGGTTGTGGCAGCCTCCGCTCTCTTGAACTATGGTCTGGGGGGCTATGGACAGGCTCCCCAGCTGCTTGGCGGCCTGGCTACTCCCACCCAGTCTTCAGTGCTCCTTGGTCAAACAGGCTTTCTGGGGGCTCAGTGCCGCGTCCTGGAGGTAGATGAGATGGGGGCTGCTGAGGGACTCAGACTGGACAGCTGGCAAGGCACAGAGAGCCCCGTCCTGAGGGCAGATCAATGGGGCCCACTCCCCACTGACCACCTTCCTAATGTGTCCTGGCAGCAACTCCACGCCTCCATGAGCTGAGGCTCTTCCTGCAGCCATTACTGGAATCAATTATGTTGGAAGAGGAGCCCGGTCACTCAATCAAATAGGAGCATTTGTAGGTCAGGAGGATGCCCTGGGGCCTGGAAGGGGCTGGGGGCAGATGGTAGGCCAGGGAGGAAGGGCTTCCCTGCCTCCTTTGTGAAAGCTGCAACGTCCAGCTGCCTGACAGAGACTCCACCCCCGAGGGGGATTTGGCCCAGAGAGAGCTGCTGCCCCTAGGCTTGGGGACCTGGCGAGGGACACCAGCAAGGATCCCCAGGAAGGACAAGTTGGAGGACGCCAGCCTCTGCCCACCAGGGCCAATCCTGGGAAATGCAGCCCAGCTTCCAAGCACAAAAACCTGGGACGTGAGCAGACTCCAGCTGAGCTTCCAAGAGCCCATGAGCCTTTGTTTGCCCGGGAGCAGCCACGTGGCTACCCTGGCCTGACATCCGTCCTAGAGGGAGGAACTGGCCATGCTGATTGAGAGCAGACCCCTCCAGAGCATCCTGAAGTCACATTGTCCACCAGAACGTGAAGGCTTGGCGGGGGCACATGCCCGAGATAGGGCTAACTGTGAAAATCGTCCAGCTCTAAAAGACCCAGAGTCAGTATTGGGAGAGCAGCACACGGCCTGAGGCGGCCCGAAGGCTGGTCCAGGCGAGGACACTCCCCAGGCACCCTCAGCCTCCCTGAAGCCCTCCCCTCCTCAGATGCCCAACTTCTGTTCTGCTCCCACTTCTTCCATCCTGGGGCCACCTGGCCACCACTACCTGCAGACTCACTTGTTGTAGAGGACGATGTCCGGCCGCCAGATGAGCTCCGAGGGGATGCGGATGGATGTGACATTCTCATAGTCAGCAGGGTCCCAACGCAGCTTGTAGTCATGCCACTCCTGCAGGGCAGTTCTCTGTGAGGGGGGGCACGGGCAAGGGCAGGGCGAGGGAGCACCTCCCACTCACCTGCTTCACCCACACATTTGTGGTCATCATCTGGTTCTTCTCATCCTAGGGCACAAATAAGGAAGGAGGGTGTGGCCCCAGGACAGGACATCTCTCTCTGGCCCTCAGTCTCCTTGTTCACAGCCGCAGGAGAGGACGGGCCCAGGCTGACATGGCAGGCCACCTCAAGAGGGAGGGAGTGCCTTATCTCTGGAGGCAACCAAGCCAAGGACAGCAGGGGACCCAGGAACATGGGGGCAAGGGCCTTGGGGGAGGGGAAGCTCCAGGCTGCTCCTAGGACCACCTTGTGGGACCACATGAAGGCCTCTGCCCACCTCTCTCCCTCCCTCCCAGTCTATGAGGCATCCCCTCTGCAGACCAGGCCCCATGTGAGTGTGCACCTGCTTCCTCCTGTGACCACCTGTATCTCAGTGGGTCCCACCTGCTGGCCAGGGTGACCCCTGGACAAATTGCTCCCACTTCCCAATAGGCCCTAAACTTTGTGGCCTGGGCAGGTGGGACTAGGAAACCCCATGCTGGTCACTGTCCAAGCTGGACTACACACTGTGAGAGTCCCCACCCTGCCCAGTGCCCCGCCTTGACTAGTCTCCTTCCTTTTCCTCTGATGAGGAGCAGGGAGTCATGACACAGGCTCCATGCAAGCCACGGGATCCTTGGGGACAGGAAGCCCCCATTCTGTTGGTGCTGGATGCTGACCTCCAAGGGCAGCAGCCACACCTGCCTCATCTGGGGGGAGCACAGGCACTGCAGAGAGCATGGGGTATCCACGGGGTGGGGCTCTTTCTCTGCTGGGAGGGTCTGGACAGGACGTAGCAGGTGGCAACCTGGTAAGGTGGCTTCCCCCCTTTCATAGGCCTAATTTTCTCTTCACTCCAACCAGGGACAAACAGGCTTGATCAGAAAAGCTACTCTAGCCAGATAAATCACAATGGTCAATGGGAAAAGCATCTTGGAGCCTCAAATAGGACTAGGGTGGAGTGGGGACTGCCATCCTCAGACATGACTCTCGGTACCTCCCTTGCTGTTCCCTGGGGATAAGTCCCTGAGACCGCTGTCCTAAGTCCCACCTTCCAATAGAGACACCTGGGCAGGTCACCCAGCTGCCAGAGCCAGGCCTCTGCCTGGAAGGACACAGCAGAGCAATTGGTCATTGGCCTAGTCCTGTTCTACTTGCAAGACCTTGTCTCTGTGAGACCTCATTCCTGTAGGACAGGTCCCCATGTATCCGCACAAGTTTGATGAAGGATGCCTGGAATGTTTCAGGAGGACTTAGCACCTGCCCCTGTGGGTCGGGAACCTGGGAACTTCTGAAGGCTCCTTGGCAGCCACTTTGGGTGTGACCCCATGCACAGCACAGGAGGGTTCCATCCTGGCCACGAGCACGTGAGCCCTACAGAGAGGGCAGGAGGGCCAGCACCAAAGTGGGGACAGACTGGGACAGACAAAAGGCAGCCCCTTCCACCTCAAGCATGATTGTGGGCCTCAGGCCAGCACCCAGAGCTGTCCACACACCAGTGTGCACATTCACGTGTGTCCTTACCCAGCTCTAGGGTGGAGATCAGGGCTGGGAGTGACACCAGGGTCCTCATGGAGTCTGGAACTGGATATTCTCAGGCCTCACTGTGTCCAGGGCAAGCTGGAGGACTACAGTGGTGTGGGGGCCAGGGCAGTCCCAGTGAGCTCAGAGGCTGTGGGCGTCAGCATAGCAGACCCGGAGCCTTGAGCAGCTGCCAACAGCCGCCTCCGCCAGCCACCACTCTGCACCATGTTTGCAAACCTCAGCAGGGTTGATGAGGTCCATGCATCTTGCATTGTCTCCTGGCTGGGCACCAGCCAGGGGCACTCCACAGGAGCCATCCAGGGCCAGTTCCAGGACACCTGAGGGTGGAGGGCCGGGTGGCCAGCTCTGGATAGGGTGGACTGACCATGTCTCCATGCACAGTTCTGCACAGGCTGGTTCCACCTTGGGGGCAGTCCGTCCTGGAATGTGGCACAGCCCCCCATGCCTTCCAAAGCCCCTGGATGTCAGCCACTTAGCCCGAGATAGTGCAGCAGCTCTTACCTCTGACAGGTGAGACTCCAGGTAAGCTCAGGGCCACCTGCACGCACGGCCCCAGCCTGGATACAAGGTCGAGGTGGACTCCCTGGACTCCAAGGTTGATGTCCTGGCAGGGCTGGGCTGGGCATCTGGGACTGTCTGCAGTCACTGCAGCAGACAAATCCCCCTCCCCAGATTTGGGCTCCCTCCTGGACAGGACAGCAGGGGCTGACCTGGCCATACATATGCATCACAGTGTGCATGTGAAAGGACTCAAGCCCTTCAAACCCACTGGCAGCAGAACCAGCTCTGGAGGCCACGGCCTCCCTCCCTGCCTCCCAGCCAGGCTGGAGCCTCCACTCTGAGGCCAAACCTAATGGGCAGGGGCTTGGGTGTTGCCAAAGTTGGGAACAGGACACCCCCAGGCTGTGCACCACCTGTCAAATACCCTGAAAGATGGTCCTGCTTAAATGGAGTGACTGAGGTTGGCCAAGAACCACAAAACTGTCTCCACTGCCTTTCACCCAGGGCCCTCCAGAGGCACCCCCCTACACGAGGCCACCCAGGGTCAGCCAGATCTTTGTCCTGCAGCTGTGAGTGGAGGGGGGATTCGGGCAGCTGGTCCACGCTCTAGGAAGGTAACCAAGCACCTCCATTGTGCAGAGGCCCTGAGCTTGTTTCTCTGGGCCTTGAAGCTGTCTCCCCATAGCTCCCCCAACTGGGGCTACTCAGACACTAGCTCACACTGTAAGGGACTTTGCAGGATCCCCAAGTCCTCCCAGCTGCCTCCTGGGCCCCTCGCCAGGAAGGTAAACACACCAGTCAAGCAGAACCTGCCCAAGACATGGCGAGACCCTTAATTCCAGAGCCATGGATGAGAGGCCTCTGAGACCAGCCTGAGCTCAAGGGTAAAGCCTGCCTGCCCTGCCCTGCCTGCCCTGCCCTGCCCTGCCCTGTCCTGCCTTGCAAAAGACCCCATACCCTGGTGCTGACCTGCCACACCACTGCCCCCAACCACTGCCCACACAGGTGTCTTCTCTTCTTTGCTTCTAAAGGTGCCCTGCCTCACTGTTGAAAATCCAGCCTCTTTTGAGTTATCCTGTATTGGAGGGCAGGGCCTGGGCTGACACACAGAGTCATCCTTTTGCTGGGCCCAGTGGCCAGAGCCGGTGGTGCCCGTCCCCAGTTGCTAGCATGTAAGGCTTTTTTCCAGACACCATGCTCCTTTCAGATGACCTCAGTGCCCAGTGACAGCTACAGCCCACCTACCACGTCGATGAGCTGTGCAATGGACAGGCCGAAGCGCACGAGGACCACGTCTGAGATGTTGGCCACTGGTCGAGACCACTTGTTGTAGCCAGAGAAGAGTCTCTTCAGGAGCCGCTCCTCCGCATGTGCCCGGGTCTCCACGTGGCTGCCCACTACAGGAGGGGCAAGCCAGGGCTTGGGTGTGGGGAGCAGGCAGCTACCTCACGCCAGGCCACGCTTGGCCGGCTACCTTGCCTCCTCCCACCTCTACCCCAGGACCTATCACCCTCAACCCTACGGCAAGCACTGCCCACCCTACCTCAGTTTCTCTTCTAACCTGGGGCACAAGTGGACTGGCCTCGGGGGAGCCTTTCCAGACTGCTCAGGCTGAGCAGGCCCTCCTAGCACCTTGCACCTCCTCACAAAGCCAAGATACTGGTCTCCCAGCACTGCTGTGGGTGTCTTCCCACCAGCCCATGACCTGCACAGCACAGGGGGCAGAGGGCAAGCAGTCCCCCAGGCCAGTGCAGGGGTTGGGGGGATGAAGGCCCAGCCACAGACAGCCTGCATCTTGTGGCCACTAATGCCTGGGAGAAGTTAAGTGTGGACCCTGAGCATGGGCCCAATACCCTCAGAGTGGCAGGTGCCCTGTGTCCTCTGACAAAAACACCAAATGCCTTCAACCAGCAGCTCTAGAGTGACCTGCCTGCAAAGGGATCCCTCGTTCAGCCCAGCTCACTGGCCATTTGTGTCCTCCATCAGCATCTTCCCACATGGTCTGAGGACCTCCCTGCTGGATCCCCTGGGGCCACATTAGAAGGAGTCAGTCCCAGACCCCTGGGACCCTTGACTCCAGCCCAGAGCCCTGATCCCCACCTTGTTCTTCCTGGTCCCTTTGACCAGTAAGGTGCAGCCCCTTTCTCCCTGGGGAGGCCAAGGGGTTAAATTCCCTCCCAAAGCCCCTGGAGGAGGTGGGCGCTCTGGGTGGCTATCCAGAAATGGGGGGCAGAGCTGGAGCTTCCCCTTCTGGACCTGGGGGAGCAAAACAGGTGGGGCAGGGGCTTCCAAGGGCAGAGGCTATTGCTCTGATCTAAACTGGAAGCAGACAAGGGGGTCTCCAGGGAAATTTGGCCAAGGATGGGGGAAGGGAGACATGGGCCCCACCTCTACTCAGGTCAGGGCTTCTGGGTGGGACTCCTGCAATAGCAGCTGGACCACCCTCTCCACCCTGGACCCTCTCTCCCCCATTCTCACGCAGGTTAACTCCTTTCTCTCCTGGTTTGGCCCTTGTCCAAGGGCAGCCTGTGCCTGGGATGGGGGAGCCTCAGCTGCCCCTTGTGCGCACCCGCAGCCTGGACCGCAGTCAGAAGCCTCCCTCTTCTAGCTCTGGGCACCAGGGGCTGCCCGGGACTGCCCGGGACTGGGGCGACAGGGGGCCTGAACTCACCCGGAAAGAGGCCAGCCCCTAGAAGCAGCAGCAGCGGCGGCAACGGCAGCGGCACCCCGGGGCCCCCGAGCTCCATGGCGCACGCACCTCGCGGGCTCTAGATGCGGGCGGCTCCCGGCTCTGCCGCGCCCTAGCTCTGAAACCCGCGCGCGCCCAACTTCATGCCCCCCGCCTCGCGGGCCGCTTAGTCCGCCCGCCGGGCTCTCAGCTCCTCCTGCGCCGCGCAGGCGGTTGCGGCGGGGCCGGAGCGCTGGGCTGTGGGCTCAGAGGCTGGGCCCCGCCCGGCCCTGCCCGCCTCCAGCCGGCGGGGAAGACGAGAAGGGGAGGGGAGGGAGCAGAGGGAGGGGAAGAGCAGGCTGCGCTTGGCCCATGCGGAGGTAAAGTTTCCTCTGCCTACCGAGGTTCTGTTTGTGCCCAAGCCGGGGAGGGGATCCCGTGATCTCTGCCTGTAGCTGGGGATCCCGGAGCGGTCTGACCTCCATCCCCGTCTCCACACTGGTGTCTGAGGCTCGCCTGGAGGGCGCGAATCAGGGGCCCTGAACGGGCACCCCTAGGGGATCCAGCTAACTGTATCTCCCGGCCCGCCGTAGCGTTTGCAGTTTGGAAATCACAAGTGTCTGGTCTTCTTCCCCGCTAGGTTCAGGAAGGCACCCACTCTGCCAGCCCGGAAGTGTCCCGGGTCCTCCGCTGCGGTTCTGGGAAGGGAAAGGCTCTAACTCCCATCTATGGCAAACTGCCTGCAGTCTCAAGGGGTCAGGGGCCAGCCCCTTTGGGCCTGAGGCCTCCTAGTTCAGGAGCTGCTTGAGCAGGAGGTGGGGCCTCCATCCCAACTGTGCATAGGTGAGGGACAACAATGGAGGGTCTTGGCTCCAGGCGTTTGGAGAATAGACGGATGGCCATTGGACCAGTCTCAGAGAATGTGCCACTGGGAGGGGAAGAGAGGTCCTGTCCGGTCCCGAGGGAGGGGCTCCCTCAGGTGGGTGCTGAGAGAAGGAGCTTTGTGTGGTTGAAGCTCTTCTACAGCCAGGAGAGGATGACAGAAACATCAGGCCCATGGCCAGCCCTGTACTCAGGACTGGGCCCCCCATATGGAGATCTCGGGTTCCCTGGGGGGGGGGTAGGGCAGGGGGGCTGGAGAGGTCTATGGGCCCTCTGGTTGGTGCCCCTCCCTCCAAGACCACAGGGTGTTGCTATGCTAATAGTGGGACAGCCCCGGCCCCCTTCTCTCCTGTAGACCACCCCCCTCCTTCTATGCCAGCCCTCCTCTCCCCTCCCCTCCTTCCTTTCCCCTCCTTGATCCTGCACTCCCCTAGTTCTACACACCTCACACACCTGCCCTGGCACCTTCAGGGGCTCTTCTCTGTGGCCTGGCAGAAGCTGTCCCTTTTTGTAGGCGGTGTCTACAATAAAACTTTTCAAAACAGCCCCTGCGTAATGGCCTGTTCCTCAGTGACAATTGCCCCCTTTGTGGCTTTCCAGGATGCTGGCCCAAGCAGTTTAGATGCATTTACTCTCTGAACTCCTGGGACACCTGTTACATGTGTTCTTTCCTTATACCTGTTTTACTCACGAGGAGGTGGAGGCACAGAGAGGTTGAGTGACTTGCCCAAGGCCACACAGCCAGTAGTAGGATTTCCACCTGGCCGTCTGGCTTCAGCATCTGCACTGGCCTCCTCCTGGCCTCAGCCAGAGCTGTCCCAGGCTGAGATGCCCCTACTGGGATGGTGTTTGGGGGCGCCCATGGCTGCCCTGCAATCTCTCCTGGGTGCCAAGGAAGGCCTGACCATCCACACACACAGGTCTCCACCTCCCTCCACCCCCAGCACAGCTACCTCCTTCAGACCACCATGCAGCCCCCGCAAGGCTTGGAGGAACTGGTTTGTAATCCTCTTTTCCCAAATAGGACCCTCTCACCCTACTCCTCATTCTCCCCAAACACCCCAGAAGTGCCAGACCCAGGGTTCTTCCATATGGCAACTCTGTGCCAGGAACTAGAAGATTCTCCAAGTCAAACAGAGATCTGGGCTGAACAGCAGCCGGCAACCAGGGTTCCAGGAAGGGAGGAGGGCAGAGCTCTGTGAGGCCAGCCACCGACCTCTTCCTACTTGGGAAGGAGATGGAGAGGGCAGCTGGGCTGGCGGATCCTGCCCCAGGAGAGAGCTGGGCTGGCCTCCGTGGTCTGCTCCATCTCTCATCTCAATGAGATGCCTGCCTTACACTGTCACAGAACAAATACAATTTGCAGAGCCAATTCCACACTTTTTTACTGATAAGAGAGGCAGACCATGTTGTAATCTCTTTGGGGGATTTCTTTCCAACCTTCTCAGCAGCCCCAAGCAGCAAGCTTATCACTCTGACTTGGCAACCAAGGGAGGTGGCAGGAATAGGATCTGCTAACACAGTGACATCTACCCTAAGGTTCAACGCCAAGGGGGTCCCACATCCCATTAGACTCTTTGAGACAGGGGTGCCCCTGCTGCCTTTGCATGCAGGCTCACTTTCACCCCTAAGGTTGAAGTTGCAGCAGAATGTCAGAGTGGAGGGAGAGGGTGCACAGGGACTCAGCCCCAGGGACCACAGATATCCACCAGTGGCCACGCACAGGGTATCACCTGGGGATTCTGGGGCCCCACCCTCAGAGGCTATTCAGTCTGGGGTGAGACCCCCAAGTTGTGATTTCTAACAAACATTACTGGGCAGCTCTGGGGAAGGAATCCTCAGACCACAGGCTAAGAATACAGACTTGGAGCCTCTTGGCCCAAGGGCTAATATGGAGGGTCACCCAGGGGTCCCACCCCTGGCTGGGGCTCAGACCTGGCATCCTGGCCTGGGGGGAGTGCAGGACCCTGCCCAAGTCTGTGCAGGGAAATTGGCCATGGGCTTCTGGGCAGAGACAGGCAGCTCGGAGGCTCAGCTGCTCTGTCCATCCCATTTTCCTCACATTCTCTGCAGCAAAGGCTTTGTGCCCAGGCTCTCCCCTGGTCTGGCAGTCTCAGGACCATGGTTCTCACTGAATTCTGATAGGCAGATTGGCACCAACAGTCCAGCCAAGGCCAGCAGGCTATATCTCCCACAGCCAGAGGTCAGCGTGGTGCTCAGGTCTCTGGCCACACGCACACGCTCACACCCATCTGTCCAGCATTGCTGGTGTTCCCTGCAGATTTGCTAATGCAGCAAGATTAATCAGGTCTAACTCACTAATGTCCTCAGCCCCTCCCACCCCACCTGCCCCCTGGCAGTCATCTAATGCTGAATTAGATACTTGCTTCAAGCCCAGGCCCCTCCCTCTGCTGCCCCTGAAAACTCCCAATTCACAGCCCTAGAGACCAGCACTGGGGCAAGACTCTCTGTGGCCTGACTACCCTGAGGGGCCAGGGGGCAGACATGGAGCAGTGCCCTCCAAATGTCTGGCCCAACCCACCCCAGCCATGTCATTCCCCACACTGTCACTGGCCAGTGATTTCTGCAGGGACGGGTCCTCTCCTTCTGCCCTCTCAGCTACACTTGTCCCAAGGACATTTCCATGGTAACCAATTGTCAGGGCGAACAAGGATTTCAGTGAAGAAGGAGAAAGAAGGGTGTTGGCTGGATACCCAAGGGTGGGGACCTGTGATGGTCTGAGGGGCACAGGGCCTGCCTGCACCACCATCAGCCCACCCTGAACAGCTTCATTCTCCTCTACCATCAGCCAGGCCTCACCATCCCAGACCCACTCTGCCCTACCAGATACCCCTGAGAGAGACACATAGGAAACCCAGCCTCCTCCAGGGAATCTTCCAAATGTCCCAGCCCTGCCCCAGAACCATGCTGTAATGCTCCTCCCCAACTCTTCTTGTGTGTTCTCTGCTGGCCTCTCCCGGCCCCCACTGCTGGCCACGTGAGCCTGAGACAGGAGGCTCTAGGCTTTGCACACAAAGCCTGGTTCTTAGCACATGCAGAATGCGTGGGAGGAAGAAGGCATGAATGGATGAGTGAGGGAACAAATGACTGCTGGGCCTCAAGACTGAGGGAGGCTGGGCCAGGGAGGGTCCTGTCTGCCACTGGCAGTCCCACCTCTGCCAGACTCTGCACAGGCTCAGACCTTCTGTGTCCAGGCTTGGCCCTTGGCTCAGGACAGGTGCCAGGAAGGCAAGTCACAAAGCCTGGTGGGAGCAAAACATGGGGTCTTAGGGCCACCTTTTTGGCCCATGGATGTCCTTGATGTCTGCCATGAATTGCTGAGGGGGGGGACTTAAGCCTCACTGGGTGTGGCAAGGCCTCCTCCATCCCTCCATCCTCTGATGGGACCTATGCCTATCTGGCCAGCCCTGACACCCCAAGCATGCATTGTTCTTTGACTTTTAACTAAGCCCCTCTGTGGGCCTGGGCCCGGGCCTGGCACTCACCACTTGTGAGGACTGAGCACATCACTGTTTCCCACACAGCATCTGGGGAACTGTGACCCCCGACTCGCTCCTCTAAAATGGGAAAAATGAAGAGGTCAGCACATGCATGGTGTTGCATCCAGCCCCCAAGCCGTCTGTCCCCAGGTCACTTGACTGGCTTCTATACGTGCTTTTCCCCATGGTGGACCAGGCTCAGGCCTGCACACCTGGGCTTCCCACGGCCCAGCCCCATCCTGCACACCTGTTAGGGTCTTCCTAGACAGGTCACAGGTCTGCCACTGGCCTGGCTCCCTCTCCCAGCATACTTGTGCCAGCTCCCCACACATACACCACCTCCCTGCCAAGCAGCCAGCTGCCTATGAATGCCCTTGGAGAGGCTACACCTGGAAGGGAAGCTATCTCGAAGGATGAAGACCCTTGTCCATCACAGCCACAGCTATGGATTTAAACCCGGGCTCTGCCCCTACCACCAGGTAACTCTGAGCTTGGGTTTTGCTAGATGGCCCAAGTCACTGTGTTTTTGTGAGGATGGAGGACAAAGGCTGTACTGGCCAAGTGCTTACTACCTGGACGTAGTTGGAACCACCCATAGCTTTTGCCCTCTGCCAGGGAAAGGTCCCCACACCAACATCTGAGGGTCACAACTGTGCCTTCAGAGTCCAGGCATGGACCTCAGGGGCCAGGCCAGTGG